TTGATAATATATATATATAAATATGTATATATGTAGTCGCAAACTACATTCTAAATATACATACAAATGTATATACATGTGCTGTTTTGGAGAATTGCATAACACCATTAATACATTAATTTCTATAAGATTAGTAGCCTAATAGTCCTATTAAGACTGTATTGTTTATAATGTAATGTGGATATGTAAATATCGATCTAGTTATACCCGTTACTCGTAGAGTAAAAGGGTATACTAGATTCGTCGGAAAGTATGTAACAGGCAGAAGGAAGCGTTTCCGACCCCATAAAGTATATATATTCTTTATCAGGATCACAAGCCGAGTCGATCTAGCCATGTCCGTCTGTCCGTCTGTCCGTCTGTCTGTCCGGATGAACGCTGAGATCTCGGAAACTATGAGAGCTAGGCTATTGAGATTTGGCGTACAGATTCCTGAGCTTCTTACGCAGCGCAAGTTTGTTTCAGTAGACTGCCACGCCCACTCTAACGCCCACAACCCGCCCAAAACTGTAACTCCTACAGTTTTGATGCTAGATAAAAAATTTTAACTGAAATGTATTGTTCTCATCAATACCTATCGATCGAAGTTTGCCACGCCCACTTAAACGCCCACAAACCGCGAAAACCAGTGACGCCCACAATTTGCATGCTAGATAAAAAATTTTAACTGAAATGTACTTGTGTCGTCAATACCTATCGATTGATCCAAAAATAAATTTGCCACGCCCACTCTAACGCCCATAACGCTTAAATCTGTCTACCGCCGGTAGGTGGCGCATTTTAATCTCGCTTTGCTGCTTGCATATCTCCATTTCCCTTTGAGTAACGGGTATCTGATAGTCGAGGTACTCGACTATAGCGTTTTTCCTTGTTTTTTTTCCTTTTGCGCACTTTGCCTACACTTTTTTTTAAGTGCACATTCACACTCACATTCAAAATATGTATTTAGAATATATATCATATTATTAGGAATGTACTTACCTGATTCAATAAACACTAGCACCTTGCACTGAAACATTTGTCGTCTTTAACACAATGTCGAGTTCACAATGACTTATCGATAACTACGCTTGCTTGCACGATAGGCGCAGTTCGAATTTCGTAAATATAAATACAATTATTGGTATCGATGAGACCCTAGATTTGGTCAAAATGACACTAATTAGGATCAAAAAAGATTTTTCATACAATGTAGTATACTTTTGACACTCATTTAGGATAAAATTGATCCCAAAAATTTGATTCTAGGGTTAGTGTCATTTTTACCCACACTTATCAAATTGACACTCGAAGATTTTTTTTTGGGTGTAGATGTCGAGGGCAGTGTTTCGCAGTTTTCTGGGTCGAGTTCCCCAGATATAAGCACATGGATAGGAGAGATGGATGATAGTGCAGCTACAGTTAAGTGGAACTCTTTACAGTTGTTTGTGTATGTAAAACAGTTGCTTAGTGGAGCAGCAAAGATGTATGTGCGTAGCCAGAGAAATATCAAGACTGGACAAGTTTGAAATCGGCTTTGTTGAAGGAGTTTGGAATCAAGCTATCCTCATTGGGAAAACGACTGCAGCACCAGTAAGCAAGTATGGTTCACAGGGTAGCAAGGCTGTATGGCTGATGAGGTAGCTGGATCAGTTAGGAAATGTTTTTGTTTCAGAGATTCGACATGAAGAAAGACTGTCCCGTAAAGGAAAAATGTATCAAAGGTGATCAACCAGGACACCGAGCAGCGCAGAGTAAAGCTGAAGTGCAGGTCGCGAGTGGTCGATAGCTCCGTAGAGAGCGTCTTTGTTAATGCGAAAGCTGGTAGGCAAGAAGGGTTCCTTACACCGATAGACAAAGCAACATGATCGACATGGTATGTGATGACCGGCTTCGTCATGGTATGTGATTATGTCGACTACGTTGGCCCAAAATATCCCCAAATATCGATATAATCACGTTTTCGTGATTGTAGATGCATTTTCCAAGTGGTATGGTATGGTAGGATTCAACAAGAATCACAGGGGTTGGAGAAGTTGTGACTTGTTTGGAGCGCCAGGCTCTTTGTTTTGGAAATCCGTACAGGATAGTGTCAGATCGTGGAGCTGCATTCCCATCCCACCTGTTCAAGGAGTACTGCGATAGGGAGAAGATCCAACGTGTGCAACAGGCGTAACAAAAAGAAACGGACAACGCTCTTTAAAGTAAGCCTTGAATGTCGAGGGTGCTGCTATAAGGTAAAGCAATTCAATATACCTGTGTTTTTCTCAATCGACGCGCTTTATCAAAATCGTACAGCTAAAGACAGGCATAATGAACTGCAACGTGCCGAATGTACAAAATTTAGAAAGTGTACTTACGTAGACTACATTTTGTTTATACCTTTCAGGTAAAGCAAGAAGTCAGAATTTATGGTCGATTTTAGCGGTAATTTAATGAAAATATCGGTGTCGAAAATTAAAATAAAAAAAAAGTAATTACATATTATAAAATTTAGTGACCTTTATAAATATTTGTATCCTAAGATATAAGCTAATGATGGAAAAGAAAAGAAAAAAGAAAGTGTCAAACCTACATAAAATTTTAAGAATCATATAAAATTTTAGGCCATAAATATCCTATAAAGTTGGTCAGTTATGACCTATAAATATTTACATTTATGACCTAAAAAGTTGGTCAAATTAGGTGTTTTCAAAAAAATTTAAGTGCTCAGGAGAGTAGGGATAGGAAGAAAAGTTCGGTTGGATATAGCAACTATAAATAAAAAGTCATTACCACGAAACTGGTATTATTGAAAAGACTGTTCCTGCTTTATAAGCAAATAAGTGTGCAGTCTTGGAAAGAATCGCTTTGCATATCTCTCTCGCACTCCCCTTAGCCGAGTAACGGGTGATTAATAGGTGATGACACCGACAACAGCATTCTCTCTTATCAAACCCGTTTGTCGTAGAGTAAAAGGCTATAATAAATTCGTCGGAAAGTACTCCCAGAATTTGACAACAATCCGTTCGCTATGTTTTCGTTCCGCGCGATCAAGTCATGAACATTGTCATGAACGCTTCACTGAAAAATGTCTTGAATTATCAACAAAATACGTATGTAGGTCTGGTGTCCCGATTGTCCGTACTTGAAAAATTCGTTCGGTGATCCAGCTGCAAGAGCGACCGCCTTTAAGTATTATCTAAATTTTCTCATTTCTAATATTTTTATTCTAGCATCAAAACTGTGGGCGCCACAGTCTCGGTAGGTTTGTCGCTATAGTCGACGCCCTAGAGTCTAGGGCCTAGACTATTAGATATGCGTTACTCAGATATGCAGCAAATCGACTGTTTCCGAGACACAATATTTGCGAACTGTCCGATTTGAACAATTTTTGGAATGTAGTTGACATAAACATTAAACAAAATCCCATTTACACTTTTTTTTACACAATATTACAAATTTGGGAGCTAGACAGGTTTTAGCGACATGGGCTTGTATGGGCGTTAGAGTGAGCGTGGCACCCTGCTGAAATAAACTAGCGCTGCGCAAGAGCCTCTAGAATCTGCATGCCTAATCCCAGCTTTCTACCTTTTATAGTTTCCATTTACACTCTTAAAAGATATTAAAAATGTGGGCGCTAGACAGCTCTTAGCGTTATGGTCGTTTTTAGCCGTTAGAGTGGGAATGGCACACTGCTAATCCCAGCTTTCTACCTTTAACAATTTCTTAGATCTAAGGACATTCCTATTTCGACTCGGCTAGTGATCCTGATCAAGGATATAAATATTTCTTTTAGAAAGTCAGAAATGCTGATTTCGGAACTGCTCCACCTATACGCGAAAACTTTGATTGACGTTGCGATGCTTTGTGTGCGTTACAGTGGGCGTGGCACATTTGCGCTGAGTCAGAAGCAACCAGAAGAAGTCGGTAAGCGGAGTTTAATAAATAAAAATGAATTTATAAGCCAGAGTAAAACAAAGATTTGTGTAGGTTACACAATGAAGTGAAACAAAGCAGGGACGTGATGGAAGCCCCAGCAGGCAGCCAGCCAGTCAACACACTAATCCAGTGACTCTTGTAGGCAGTCAGCCAAATAAAGGGACTCATGACTGAATGTGAAACTAACAATCGAGCCACTTACTGTTCTTGCTGTGGCAGCAGCATCAGCATCGTCTTTTGTACCCAAATTGAGCTTAGCCTCTGCGTGTAATCCGTTATTAAATTTTGTTTGTGTTTTATTTGTCTTTGCTATTTTGCTTGTGGATATTTTGAATAAATAAAAATAAGCAGAACAAAGCTCAAGGCATAGCAAAAATCTAGCCTGCAATACACACACCCGTCTTAGGTCTTTCATATGCACACAATCACATCAAATGAAGACTAGAGAAAACAATAGTATGTCGAGTAAGGTCAGTACTTTTATAAGCCACTTTTTAGTGTACACAAGTCGAATTTTCGTATTTGCGGTTTCTTGTATTCCCAGGCAAGTTGACATTTTAATAAGACGGACGGCCGCAGAGCGTATGATAAACGCCTATTACAAATACGCCCTTAACAACATTGCTAAGTCCTAAAACTGTCGCGTAGCCGTGTCGTCCTAGACTGTGGCACACTAACACACATACGTTGTTCCTTGGCATTCTGCACGGCAGACCCCGAAATGACGAAACGCTCCTGTTCCTTTTTCTAACGCCCGGCTGGTTCGATAACAGTCCAGCATAGACATAGAACTTCCGTCTTACTACATACCTACACCTGGATGACTTTTCTTTCCTTGCACGTAAGTGTGTACGTGCGTGCTTTTAAATATGAAACTCGCATTAAATTATCAGAGCTCGCACATAACTGTCGACCGTTTCTCGTTGTCTGGAAATAAGTGTATTTTCCTGACTCTTTACGAAAAGACTCAGAGAGCAACCGATTTATGGGTTCTTGAATGAGCTCGCTCGCGCTCAGAGCTCAGAGCTCTACCATGGTTGTTCCAGGACCGTTTTGTCCTGCCCCACAAACGGTCTTTTGCGTATGTATTGGTATACACTCACACGCATAGGCTAGCAAATCGTTAATCGTCGGTTTTGCAGCCGAAATATATTAATTGCAATCGTGAACTGAGTGTGTGAAGTTGTGCAATTATTTTGTTCTGTAAAATGGGAAGAGAATTGAATAAAAAAGTGCACCAATTCTTTAAATTTAATTTGGAAGAGAACAAGTCAATATGAAGCGTTTGTGGTATTAAATTGTCCGGCAATCATTCAACAAACCTTAGACGGCATTTAACAACGAAACATATGGACATTTTCAATGAGTGGAACAATTCTGGACATTCACAATCAGCCCAAAGTGAAGAAAAACGAAGAATATCGTATCAAGCGAGCGAAGAAGCAATTGTTTCTTCTTTGATTAAAATAGTAACCACGGACGGAAAACCATTTATATTTCTAGACAGTGAAGGGTTCAAAGAAATTATGGATCCAATATATAATGCACTTGGCATGCACCCTGTAAGGTCTCCAAATATTATGAATTTTGTGTCAGTCAAAGAGCAGTTTGTCAAAGAAAACATAAGGGCTCTTGTGAAGGGAAAGCTGGTGTCCTTGAAAATCGATGTTGCCACCAGAATGGATAAAGCCATTCTGGGAATAAATTTGCAAATGGTCCACGCAAGCCTGGCTAAAACCGAGATTATTGTAAAGACTTTATGCATGATTGAGCTCGGGGGATCTCACACTGGAATATACATGAAGAACAAAATTCTCGAAGTCTTAGATGATTATGGAATATCACTAGATCAAATCTACAGGTAAAAATTTTACTACATACAATTTTAAGAAAATATGTGATTTTCTTAAGAATTTTCATATTCATGCACACAGCGTTACGTCTGATAATGGGCGAAACATGATAAAGGCCGTCCAAGTGTTAAATGATGCCACAGAGGAATCCCTTTTTGAAGAAGACACAGAAAGTGAGAATCTTCTGAATGAACTGGGTACTATTGAACTTGCTAATATACACCTTGTGAGATGTGCAGCACACACTTTGCAACTGTGCGTATTCGATGTAAACAAGGCAAAGGAGATCGCCGATAAAATAAGTTCCTGTCGCACATTATGCAAATCGCTGCGCACAGAAACATATAGGTAAGTAATGATAAGTTATATTTATATATATATATTTTGTATATATATATACATACTATTTATAAAATCTATGCAGACGTGTCTTAATTGAGAACCAAAGAAACATACCATCGCTCGACGTTGCTACAAGGTGGAATTCAACCTATTTAATGCTAAAAAGATTATTGGACCTAAAGGATTTCCTGGCTACGCAGTCTTATATTTGTGTAGATCCCGATTGGGATTGGATCGAGACGTACATTGACGCTTTCAGTGATACATACCCGGCAACCCTAAAGCTACAAGACGAAAATTTAGTTTATAGTGAGTTCTTCGTAGTATGGATGGAACTAAAATTGAAATGCGAGAACAGCCACAATTTGATTAAAAAAAACTATCGGCACAGATAAAATAAGAGAAAGTAAGTTGTTAGAAAATGAAGCATTGTTGGCAGCGATTTACATGGATCCTCGGGTAAATTATATGTTGACAACGAAAACTTCGACGTTACTTTTGGGCGCTTGCCATTAAATTCAAATATATTGGAATTTTTTAATGACTTGCAGCTTAAGCTCCCTCATATAAGTGCACTAGCGCAAGTTGTGCTGGCGACACCTGCAACGCAAGTTTCTGTCGAACGGGCATTCTCAGCCCTACACTTTATATTAAGTCAACGAAGAAGTTCAATTAGTGCAGAGAATCTGAACGCCTTACTAGTTATAAAGCTTAACACATAATATATAAAAAATGTTAAATGTTAAAATAAAATGTAAAAACAACATATTCTGAATATGGATTCGAAATGGAACTTGTTAACCAAAACATTTGAAAATAAATTTAAAATGTTGTATTAAACAAATTATATTATTTCTTTTTCACAACAACGAAAGTAAATGTGAAGACCGTTTGCGTTGAGTTTTTCGGTCAATCGGTCTTTTGTTGACTGTCATTGTGGGAGCGTTTCTCGTTCCGCTCTTTACGCACTGCTCATTAAAGAGCAACGAGCTCAACGAAAAGCGCTCAACAGAAAACATAAATGATGACAGAAAGTGTCTCTTGCTCAGAGCGAGAGCGAGACAGTAGGACCTTTTTCGGTTTGCTCGCAACCAGAGCACGAGAAGAAAAACGGTCAACAGTTATTTGCGAGCTCTGTAAATTATACATCGAAGCGGAAATATATTTCTGCGTGGCCGTTCTCCTGACGTTCCTGCCAACCGATACTTAATCACACGGATTGGAATCCAAAACAAGGAAGAACGCTATAGTCGAGTACCTCGACTATCAGATACCCGTTACTCAGATAACAAACTTTAAAATAAGTTAGCCCCGCACTTTGTTCTCTCTCCCTTGCTCTCATTTCTCGGCTCTGCTTTTGTTTCAGCCAGCGCCAAGAATGAGAAAGCAACACATAAAATAGACAAAAAACATTTATATTTATGTATGCTTGCTAAACATAAACAATTTTAAGGCACATTCTGTATTTCAAAATATTTGGTTGAATAGCTTTGTTTGAAAGAATTCTATTTGCCGCGGATATTAGATTGCAATTTTTTACGTCCACACACATGCATAAATACATATGTATGTATGTATGTCGTATTCTGGCTCTAGTGTCAAGGCTTGTCCTAACTACTTTGGTTTGAGAGCATTGGACTGAAAACGGAAAATTTTTTTTGGGACAATCTATAGGTATTTATTAAGCTAATTCATATTCTTTGAAAGAGATAAATAAAGATGTACAGATCTTTAAAGGTTTTTGCCCGTCAATGGGACAAATGGATAAAGGGTTCATTATTCAATAGAATAAGTTAGCCGCGCACTTTGCTCTCTCTGAGCGCCGGCAGGGCTTTTTTCTTTGCCGCTAAGTTCGGCCGGCAACTACCCTGCAGTACCATTCAGCGCTTATTGAGCACTCAATCACTGCAAAAAGCTCATCACTCAGCGCTCAATGAGCGCACAATTTGTATGGAGCTATGTGCTGAAATTAACATAGGCATGTCCTAGGGTTCATCAGTGCTCAAAAAATAGCACGCATTGAGCGCTTTTTTGAGCACCCTCTTGAGCGCTTTTTTGAGCAGCAGAAAAAGCACACGTTCAGCACATGTTGAGCGCTCGATTGAGCAGCTGAAAAAGCACACGTTCAGCACATGTTGAGCGCTCGATTGCGCAGCGGAAAAAGCACACATTCAGCACATGTTGAGCGCTCGATTGAGCAGCGGTAAAAGCACACATTCAGCACACGTTAAGCGCTCATTCAAGCAGCGAAAAAGCGCACTTTCAGCGCTTAGCAGCAAATAAAATTTCAGTTGTAATTTTTATTTTTATTTGTTTATTTTAAAATTTGAGCTCGGGGGTTTCCGGTGTTATCGGGGTCGCTGGCACCTCCTTCTCAGCATCTGGTGCCGGCGTTGCCTTTTTTTTGGTACAACTCAAGTTTTTAACGCACCGCATTGCCTTCTGCAGCGCCTTTTCGGGAGGCTCCGAGGGATCCACTAGGGCGATTGCATCTAGTATTAGAAAAAAATTAGTTTTAAAAATAAAACAAGACGAGAATAAAAACGAGTGACCGAAAGTAATCGTTATTTGTAAGATTTATTTATAATAAAAGAAATGTTATCTTTGGCATTCAATGTAAAATCCCAGAAGTTTTTTAAAAATTAAACTTACAAACAATAGTTTTCAGTCTCAACAAAAACTTACTTAATAAGGCACGGGCGAAATTTGGGTAGTCTGAGCCTCTTCTTGTTTTGCCCCCTCCAAGTTGTGGGACAGAACAAGTTCCTCGGATAATATGCTTAAGATGGAACGACTTAGCCTTCCATTTTTTTATAGATTTACCATCAGCCTTGTCTAAAAATATAAGAAAATTAAAAAAATATCGAGAAGAAATTTGCAAACTTTTGTTTTCGGTCACTTGATTTATTTTATTTTGTTGTAAAAAATTATTTATGTATTTTTTTATTATTTATTAAATCATTTATTTATTTTGCAGATGCGGAAAAAATACCACTTTTCCAGGGACGGAAAATTAGAGATGTTTGAAATTTTTATTTAAATAGCCATGTTTGTTTACTTACACAAAAATAAAAATTGTGCTTTAATGTTATTAATACAAAAAATCATAAGTTATAAAAACAAACATCTCTTATTTTTGGTCCCTAGGAACTTAGCACTCAATAAGATTTTCAAATTTTTTCACAGATTCATTCATTTGTTTATTTATATGCATCATTTGTTGTTTTTCACGTCAAAAATTAATATTTTTCACAGCTATTTTTTTTCCGCCACGTGTTTTTTTGGGAATCTTGGATTTTCCATTTCTTAAATATATACATTAACTTGTTTTTACTCTCACTGATTAAATTAATATTGGTCTGCGACAGACTTACCTGGGAATCGTATAGGTATCACTTTTAAGCCACTGGTTTATTTTATTTAACTACCTTAATTGCGTGCAATTCTAACTCCTTCACATAAGTAAACCCAAGTGAAAAAGACGAAAAAATTCGCGTGCCCTTCAGAAAAACAACAAGCAACAACAACTACGGTTCCGCTAATCCGTTGTTGTTCTGTTTTTTTGGCATGTCCCGTTTGGTCTATGCATCTTGCACATAAAAGCAGCGTATTTATAGACATATCCGACTATGCAAATCGGTTTATAAAAATATATTCTTAAAACTTCACATATTATTAAATAATATTAATAAACCTATACATTTTTTTAAGAAACACAAATATTTTAAAACAGAAACCTATTATTTTAAATCGTTGTTTTAACATTTACGAACAAATGTCGCATTATTCAAAAGGCAAGGGTGCACAAAGGTCTATATATTTTAGTTGCTGGGCCTCCTTCCCTTCACGCGCACTTTTTCGTCTGAGACTTGACGAGAGAGGGAGAGCCCAAAATTACTTTTTTGTGCGTTCTCTTTGCGGACCCGACTGAGAGCGCGTCGCTTTGCCGCCGTTGCGCTCAGCTCTGCCGGCATCGCTGGCTTCTCTGCCGACGTCGCAGTCGGCTTCGTGATGATTGGGCGCTTAACTCAATTTTGGAACTGCAGGGTATTTACATACACACACATACACGCGTAAAAACATTTCGCATTGTCTGGCTCTGACGTCATAGCTTTTTTCTTTGGAGGTTTGTGGGCGTTAGAGTGGGCGTAGCAAAATTTTTTTTTGGTCAATCGATAGGTATTGACAATACTAATACATTTCAGTTAAAATTTTCTATCTAGCATCAAAACTGTAGGAGTTACATTTTAGGGCGGTTTGTGGGCGTTATAGTGGGCGTGGCAGTCTACTGAAACAAACTTGCGCTGCGTAAGAAGCTCAGGAATCTGTACGCCAAATCTCAATAGCCTAGCTCTCATAGTTTCCGAGATCTCAGCGTTCATCCGGACAGACGGACAGACGGACATGGCTAGCTCGACTCGGCTAGTGATCCTGATCAAGAATATATATACTTTATGGGGTCGGAAACGCTTCCTTCTGCCTGTTACATACTTTCCGACGAATATAGTATACCCTTTTACTCTACGAGTAACGGGTATAACAAGGAAGAACGCTATAGTCGAGTACCTCGACTATCAGATACCCGTTACTCAGCTAAAGGGACCAAAGGGAGATGGAGATATGCAAGCAGCAAGCGAGATTGAAATGCGCCACCTACCCGCGATCTCAATATATGGTTATGTGGGCGGTAGACAGATTTAAGCGTAGTGGGCGTTAGAGTGGGCGAGGCAAACTTTTTTTTGGGTCAATCGATAGGTATTGACGACACTAATACATTTCAGTTAACATTTTGTATTTAGCATGCAAATTGTGGGCGCCAAAGGCTTGGCGATAGAGTGGACGTGGCATATTCGAGTTACACACTTGATCTGCGTACAATGCTACGGAATCTAAACCTGAAAACCCAAATCTCTATCTTTGATAGTTTCCGAGATATCCGCGTTCATATTTAAGATTTTTTGAAGTTTGTGGGCGGTTTAATTCCGTTAGAGTGGGCGACGAAAGGCGAATTATAAAATAAAGACTTCAGCTCGAGATATATTGTCAAAGAAACCACAACTTGGTACTTCTTAATTATTGGGAGGCTCCCCGAACTAACTGGAATACTTAACCTTTTAAGTTAACTCGTGCACCCTGCTGAAACAAACTTGCGCTGCGCAGGAAGCCCAAGAACCCGCATGCCAAACCCCAATAGCCTAGCCCTTATGGTTTCCGAGATCTCAGCGTTCATACGGACAGACGGACATGGATAGATCAAGAATGTATATACTTTATGGGCTTGGAAACGCTTCCTTCTGCCTGTTATAGTTACCCTTTTACTCTACGAGTATTTGGCCACCCGTGACCTAAAAAGTCGGGCCAAAAGTGCAAAAACATAAATGATATATATATATAAATTTTAGTTCATGTTAAATTTTGTAAGCCATGATCTTTGCTTTATTATTTTTCTGGGTGTGAGCTTTGTTAAGCCTTCTCTGAATGGCTTGGCTACTCTGGGGTACTTGCAAGAATTCTAAGAACTGGGGCGAGATCATGTAGTTCTTGTCTCCAGGCGGCTGCGCTTGCTGCTTTCAATAGCAGGATGACTTCATTACTCTGCGAGTTCGCTAATTCGGCTGCTTGCAGCCTTTGAGCGCTTTCCCTTTTGACGCAAATTAAATTGGTGGTCGCCCAAGATTTTTTTTAAGAGATACCTTTTAGTACCGCTTATCAAAGTACTAGTAATTTCTATGGCAACTTAGCCTATTTTTAATGCAAGCTATTGCAGAATAGCTGGCTTTTTTCTTTTAAAATTG